GACAAAAAAACCTGCCCCAGAAAAAAAAAAAAAAGTAAAAAAACAAAAGAAAAAAAAAAAAAAAAAAAAAAAAAAGCAGAGATAAAAGAGTTAAACAAATAAAAGAGTATTTCTGGGACTGAGAGATGGCTTAATGGTTAAGAGTTTTTTGTTTTTTTGTTTTTGTTTTTTGTTTTTTTGAGACAGAGTTTCTCTGTGGCTTTGGAGGTTGTCCTGGAACTAGCTCTTGTAGATAAGGCTGGCCTCAAACAACAGAGATCCACCTGCCTCTGCCTCCCGAGTGCTGGGATTAAAGGCATGCGCCACCAACGCCCGGCAATGGTTAAGAATATTAACTGCTCTTGCAGAAGACCTGTGTTTGTCAGTCAGTGCCCATATCAGGTGGCCTATACCTGCCTGTCACTGTAGCTCCAAGGAGTCAATGACTTTCGTCTGGCCTTCACTGGCACCAGCATACATAGAAACAACTCCACCGCTTACTCATGCATACATACCTAAAAAGGAATGTATTCATGATTCTCTGCCACACTGAGATTTTATAACTCTCTCTATGGAATGCCCTCACCTGCCAAGCCCACCCAGCATTCAGTGGACAACAATGAAGAGGACATCACAGCAAAGGGTCTGAAAAGAGACAGGGGTGCACCAAACACAGCAGAAAATGAAAGATTCACTCATTTCTTCAAACAATGCATGCTCTTTCTATACCCTAGACCTAGAGATTTAGCCATAAGTAAAACAGACAAGAGATGGTCAGTAAGTAAGAATAGGCAGCGTGACCCACCCATGAGCCCTGAGTGATAGGTTCTTCCAACTGCAGTTCAAACACATTAGAGAAAATCAGTTGTATTGAACACATATTACCAGTATTTACCTGGTAGAATCAAGGTAGGAGAGAAAGGATTTGTCTTGGCTCACTGTTTGAGAGGGTGCCACTCATCCAGATGGGGAAGGCATGGTTGTAAGAGCTGTTCTGTCTATAGCAATGGAAATGTGGGTAGAAACCTCACCATTGTGTATAGACAGACTGACAGAAAGTGTACCCTTTAAGGTTCCCAGCTATTAAACCATCTTTAACAGCTAGGCCCCATAGCTCAGCAGTTCTACAACCTCCCAAAGCAGCAGCACCCACTGGGGACAAAAATGTTCAACCATGTGAACCTGTGAGGGACATTTTACATCCAAAGAACAACACACACCTTTGTGCAGCAAAGTCTTCCTAGAAGACTCAGGAATTACATAATCTTTACAAGTCTCAGAAAGGAGAAATTTACAGTATGAACAAGGTGCCTCGATAAGTTTATACAAGTAGCAACAGGTGCTTAGGAAGGGCGACTCTTTGCTAGAAATGACTGAAAGTTTGCTTATGAGTTCCAGGGATAAGGCTTTTGTATATCATCGACAATGCCAGGTGGGCTTTCCCATGATGCTACTGCCTTTGGGTCACCTATGTTCCTGTAAATTACCTCCACGAATACCCCTGTTGGAAAGCCAAATAATTCATTGTGTTTCACCAATTTGGACTTTGATGGGTTGTTACATTGTTTTGTCCTTGGTGTCTGAAATATAAAAAACTCCACTTTAAAATATGAAGTATATGGCAACTGAGGAATGACACCCAAGCCAACTTCTATACACCACACATACACACACTCTGCAAGGTTTGTTACCTCTTGACAAAGAAGATAAACATCCCTTTCCTTGGGATACTGATACAGAGGATATGATATTTGGCTCAGATACAACCAACTGGAAAGAGTCACCCATCTGAGCTGACAAATGAGCCCAGAGCTGGGTCCTCTAGAGTCCCTGTTAAGTGAATACAGAAGGCCTTCAGTGATTGACACAATGGTAGGTGTTCCATTATTTGCAGGCACAATAGAATATGAGGTCACACCAACTAAGATGATACCATTGAACACTCAGAGGTATGACTCAGGACTCATGTCCTGTGATAATTTTAGGAACATTTCATTAGTGTCCTGGCAGAAGGAAGATCTGTGATGTTTCTGACTTGCCTTACATTGGTTGACAATATGAGTTGCATGTATGGGTGATTATTCTTTGGTGGTGTTGTGTGATATAAAAGCAAAAACAAACATACAAAAAAAAAAAACAGGTTCAGCAAGATGTGGCCGCACACACCTGTAATCCTGGCACTTGGGAGGCTGAGGCAGGAGAGTTGAAACACTTTCAAAAAAAAAAATCACATTTGGCTACACTTTTGGCAACTGTACCAAATTTTATATAGCACACACAATTTATAGTGACAAAAACCCCAGGTTTATCCTTAATCTTCCTTTACCCTTTATCACAAGTTCCTTGATGTAACTATTATCATTATAATATTCTATACTTAGAAGTATGATGAATACTTGGAGCATCTACCTGATTGGATTAAGATATGCTTGAGGCTCTGATGAATCACAACTTCTGAATATGTCTATGAGGATGTTCTCAGAGATGATGGAAATGTGGGTCAGTGACCTGAGGGGGTGGAATTTCACCAAATGTGGGTATCCCACAACTGGCTGGGGTCCCAAATGGGAAAACAAAAAAATAAGTCTCTCTTCCCTCTTTCCTCCCTCCCTCTCCCTCTCCTCCTCTCTTTCCTCTTCTTCCCTCTTTCTTAGCCCCCGTCTCCCTTTCTTCTTCCCTCCTCCCTCTCTCCTTTTCCCCCTTTCTCTCCCCATCCCTTCTCAGGCATGAAGGTTGTATGTGATCAGATATCAAGTCCTTCTATAAGAGTCAACTCTGGGGAATGCAAATGGAAGCAGCCAGCTGGTCTGGGTATGGAGATGAGCCTCAGAAACCCAGATGAGACCACAGACCCTGAAAGCCAGATGGTTCCCACATCCAAACTGCCATCCCTGGATGCCTTCTTCCTTTGTAAATATCCTTGAAAATTTGAGAACTGTGAGTCACTGAGACAAGAAACGCAGGTCTTCCTAATGGGGATTCTCTCTTCTGATTTGCTCCCTGGTCACTGGGTTTTCCAGACACTTGTCCCTATGCATAAACTCCCCTCAGACTGGGAACATTTACACTTCCCTGAATTAAAATTCAACCCACATTATTCCTGGAGCAGACTCAATAAAACACTTCTCACCTATCCCCTGTTGAACTGTCCTCCCTTTTACTCCCCAAATAGTATACTGGTCTCTCTCTCTCTCTCTCTCTCTCTCTCTCTCTCTTTATCTCTCTCTCTGAACCTGGAGTTTTGTATATACCAGGCAAACATTCTACTTTAGAGTTGCATCCTCAATTTTGATTTTGAGACAGGGACTCACTAAGTTTCACAGCATGGCCTTGAAGTCATGACCTTCCTAGTTCAGCATCATGAGTGACTGGAGTCACTGGTATATGCTACCACACCCTGTTTGGTGTGGACTCTTTCTGACAACTGAAAATCACAAACTAGGTCTCCCAATAAACTAACCTTTGTAAACTCTCAAAATGACGTTAATGATAAAAGTCTAAGCATTGTCCATCCTGAGAGCAATATTATAAAAATTCCTTGAATTATGTGAACTTTATTTTTTCCAGACAGGGTTTCTCTGTGTAGCTTTGGAGCCTACGCTGGCACTCGCTCTGGAGACCAGGCTGGCCTCGAACTCACGGAGATCCGCCTGCCTCTGCCTCCTGAGTGCTGGGATTAAAGGCGTGCATCACCAACGCCCAGCTATTTTGGCTCTTATTTTTACAAGACACTTTTGTAATATTTTTTGGAGGGCTTGGGAGATGACTTAATGGGTAAAGTATTTGCTGTGCGAGCATAAAGATCCGAGTTCAGATCCCCAGAACCCACATAAAGATAGATTGGTTAGAACCACAAAGCCCCTATGGAAATATG